GTTTCTGGAGGGGAATGTGAATTGGGTGATTCAAAACACTGGTGATTTGAAAAAAAGAGGCTGATGGGAGAAATTATGTGGGGATGTAGCTTGAAAGGAAGTTATGGAAACATCTACCACACAGCCCCACTAATGTTACTCAACTAGATAAACTGGCATTCTAGTTCTTTACTATTCAAATTTTACTTTTTGCATCAGTCTGACTCATGGTTTTGTACATCGGGAGAAATTCATGCTGTGACCTTGATTAAAACCACAAAAATCACATATACCTATTAATTAGCATTTGAAGCCAAATTGCTACTGGTTTAAGATCAGTGCATTAAACAGACTATTTTAGCCCCCTTCCCATTTTGTTTTACATTCTTTGAATTTGAATAATCTGCAAAATATGCACAATGAATCCACCTTAGTATGATCTACAACATACCAGATTTTAGTGTTGGGCAGGCATCAGCTTGAGAGTAAATAATACTTTCTAGTTAAGAACTGAATGCTAAATGCCAAAACTGATTTCACCACAAGACGTCTAAGTTTTGTCCATTCAATATTTTTTAAGAAAGAATGGTATTAACACCTCCATCTTACTATTTAAAAATAGATGACCAGAATCTCTCAGCACAAGACAGAATTAAGGTTTAAAATATATCCCTCATGGATAATAATACATGTATCTCAAAAGTGCCATTATTAAATAAAGTATAACTGATATACATTTATTATTGGAAGGGCCATCACACTGGAACAAATGTAAGCCTCCATTCTTTCATTTCATTCAGGTTGTGTTGGACCAGATGGACTGCCCAGAGACGTAAGTATTTTAGAATTTTCTCTACAGATCTTGCCCAGAAACATTTCCAAATACAGCTATTTCCAGGAATTCAGAATATCACTTCCTTTTTCCTCCTCTTAGTCCTTATTTTACTTTAAGATCTAGTGAGAGTCCTAGTTATTAGTAGAAACAGAAAGGAGGAAAATAGCAGCAATGACTTAATTAACACATTCTGCATTTAATACGCAACTCACCTTTAAAAAGAGCATATTTTAACCCTCACAATATATCCCTAGAGAACAAATATGATTCTTTTAACACAGGGATGTCCAACCTGCAACACCTATCGCAAAAGTGACATGTCGCAGAATGGGGAAGGGGCAGGCAGCATTGCAACAGATAGGGCAGGGAGCAGAAAGCAGAGCAGCAGCATCTATATATTCCTTCAGATAGCTTGCTGGTACTTCAGTGCCAGCAATCTATCATTCCTCTGTCAAGTGTTAAGAGAGATTTATTCATACATATCCCATCTGAAAAAGGGAAAGCAGGCTGTTTTTTGTCAGCATCTGAGAAATGGTCTCAAGCTTTGAATGGACTTTGAATTAGGAACTATGAACATTTTAATCTGATCAGGGGCAGATCCAGAGGGACTGCAGTGGCACAGCTGCACCCCACTTTTGGATTGGACCTCACTATGGGACCCTGTGGGGACTTCTTTAAGTCCCCAAAGTAGGTAAAAATCCTCCCACCCTTCCTTTTCATGATTGTAGGCATGTCCCCTCTCCTATCCTTTCCCCTTCCCCATCTGCCACTGCTGCTTTTCCTGCTTCTCTAGGGGTAGGGGAAACATCAGAGCCAGCTGAGCTGCATGGACAACGGGGGGTAAGGGAGGATGGAGTTCCGCTTCCTTGTGCCCGCTTCCGGGTGCCCAGGCTGGGAGGAGGGAACTGCTTTCCCACCATACTGGCACCACTGTCCCTGTCCCCAGCTAAGCCCAGTCCTTGATGCAGCCCTGCTAGCTCTGGTATTTCCCCCACCCCTGGAACAGCAAGGTAAGCAGCAGCAGTAAGTGGGAGGAAGAAAGGGGAGGGCATACCTCTGAGCATAAAGAGAAAGGGAGGGAGGATTTTCACCAGCTTTAGGGACTTAAAAATGTCCCTGCAGGCTCCCACAGTGCTGCCCAGCCCAGTGAGGCAGAGAAGACTGGAAGCAGGGCATGCAGCCACTCCTGTAGCCACACTCTGCTTTGGCAGTCCTGGATCCATCCCTGAACCTGAGATTACTATCAGTTTTGAGGGCTTAAATTGATCCAGAACATCCAGAGAACAGTTAACAAAATATTTAAATGTTTTTTCAGCCTGGATCCAAATGGAAGAGCAATTGCCAGGAGTGTGTCTGTGACAAAAAGTCTATGACTGTACAGTGTAAGCCACTTTCATGTCAGACACCTATGCCAGCCACTTGTAATAAACCAGGATTCATCCCTATGCCTGTGTTAACACCAGATAACCCATGCTGCCCTGAAATTATATGCAGTAAGTACCAACAATTATCTTTGATAGACAACTCATAAATATATTAGGACAAATACTGCAGATCTCTCATTAACACATATTATCTAAATAAAGGGCATCATGTAACATCTAACACCAAAATATCTGCTATCACTAAAATATCTAATAGTATCTAATATTTAAGAGCTGTGCCTTAATGGATACACAGCTAGCTTACTTGAGTATGAAAAGTAGATTTTTGAGTTACAGTTTTGATGTGCACTGTGAGCTGATTTCAAAATGATACTCTTTCTAATGTGTTCGTCTTGGGAGGGTGAAGGGGAAAAAAAGTTTTAAAAAGTATTTATAAGTCTTAATATACGTAGGTATTAACCCCATATATGTAGATTCCACAGTATTAATCCATAAGTGTATCTAGTATTGCAGTTCATCAATATTAATTTATTTATATAGCTAAATAAAGATGAATAAAAACGGAAACACAAGACTGCAGTAATATGTGGTATTTCACTAGCTAATCAAGCAAGGAAAAAGGTGATAAAAAGTAAATAAAATTAGTTTTAATAAGCAGAGACTGGATGATTAGTATATGAAAAATAGTGAAAATAAGACTTTATACTATCTTCTCTGCTCGCTTACTGGCCAGACAAGAGAGACAAGGGGAGAAGGAATCCACTGGTTTTTTACCCTGGAACCAGGGATACAACTAATGAGTAACGGAGAGCTAAATGTTAAGTGGATTTCTGAAAGATATAAAATGGCAGCTAATGATAGTAAATTATTTGATGAGTACAGTAATATCTTTTATGAGAGTAAGTCTTCTATCCAACTTACGTACAAACAGGTTTCAGGGAACTTACCAGTGAAGTAAAGGTGTCTTTTGAATTTATGCAGTAAAGTCAGGGTAATATACAGCTATGATGGTCCAGGAAGTATACAGGAAATATACAAGTACCTAAAGCTTGTTTGAAGAACTTTAAATAAAGTGCCCCTGCTGCCATTTTGAAGCATGGGGACACTGATACATGAGACGCTCCAGGAGTTTACTTAAAGCAGCTCTCAGAGCCACTCTACTTAAAGTGTTCCCCACCAACCCTCCACTTCCAGAGCATGTGTAAAAACGCCCATAGTGCCTGATTAAGCAATGCTTTCTCTGTGCCATTCTTCCTTTAGTCTCTCCATATGTTCATGAAGCTTTGGCACACATTAATTCTACACAGGTAAGTCATGAAGACTAACACTGCTAACGTTAGCCTATTAAACATGTCCTCTTTGCTTTCATTTCTCAGGATGTGATATTACCCTGTGCCCCAAGACCAAGCCTAATTGTGAACGAGGTTATGATCTAGTCTCAGTTGTTTCTGACGGCAACTGTTGTGTGACATATGAGTGTGGTAAGTACTTGTCTCCTCTCCTTCTGACCTGTGAGTTAAAAGAAGCTCAATCTAAATTTTCAAGGAGAAATAGACTTAAAAAAATATTTGAGAAATGAAGAAACCAACTGCAAGGTGCATCTACACGTGCGGTTTGCTGCAGAGCTGACTAATTAGTTCTGCAGTAAAACATCACTGTCTACATGAGCACCTGTATGAGGTCGCAGTACATTAATTAACTCACTCTTCTGTAAGAAAGTATTGTTGGGGACAGTACTAGCTTACAGAAGAGTAATTAACTCCACTGAAACACTAATTTTGACAGTGACCAAGGCTGACTGGGGCACAAGGGTGCAATAATGCATGGGCTGCCTGACGCCCAACCCCACACTTTAGCACCCTCATGCCCCAGCCAGCCCCTCTGCTGCCTGATCCCCCAAGCCCCAGCCAGCCCAGGGCTGCTCCACCCCAGCTCTAAGTGCTGTGGTTCTGGGTGCACATGAAGACTGCACAGAAGTAGCTGATTCTGGCATGAACTCCGCCAGAGTTTATTCAGACACCCTAACTGCACATGTAGATGTGCCCACGATGTACAAAGCAACACTCCCCTTGAACTACATACAATAAAGCTACATCAGCCTCTGGAAGATTTAAAAATTGAGTCTCTGTTAAATGTCATTGCTTTAAATGATCTAATTCCTTTTGTTTGTTTATTTTTTCAGTACTTCGCAACAACACCTGTATAGTTAATGGAGTTCCTTATGAGGTAAAAACAACAGTATTACACCAAGGATCCCAATATAATCTAATGTCAATATATCTTTAGAGGTCCAATATGCATCTTTTTGATCAGGAGCTCCTTGGAGAGAGATTGTTTATCCTACATGTTAAATACAGGCAACCTCCGCTTAGCGCTCTTAATTGGTTCCAGAAAAAATGAATGCTAAGTGGAACCGTGCTAAGCAAAACCCATTTGTCCATAGGAATGAATGTAAACATAGATATTTGGTTACTGCCACTTCTCACCACCACCGCCTCTCCCTACTAGCTTGCTGGCTGCTCCAGTCCCACGTGCCAGGCCAGGCCTGCACTCCTGCTGCCCTGCTCTGGGCCTCCACCGGCCTTGGCCCCAGGCATGGACACAGGCCCTGCAGTGA